TCGTCACCGCTGTCCTTAGTTTGACAAGAATGCAAGGGGGAAGCAGCCTTCAATGACTGAGAAGCTTCAGTAATGTTACGGGCAGTGGCTTTATCTGTATTTAATGAAAGGGTTTGGGCAAAAGTAGGAATCCGCTGAATCACCTGGCAGTAGGGGTTCAGCAACAGCTATTGGGGCACAGTTCCCCAAAGGGCGAGCAAAGACACTCACAGGCTTTCAGTGCTTTGAGCTAATTGAGGCATCTTTGCACTTATATTTAGGCAGGACCAGCTCTGGCCCTCAGTCTGCAGATCTGCCGGCAAGGCGGGCGTGAGGTGGTCCTGATTTTGGTTCAGAGGGGTGGTAGGGACGGTGCTCCAGTGTGACCCAAGGAGCTGCCACCTGCCCCGCCAATTTTGCCTGGTCGCCTCGGACATAGCCCAGCTTTCCTAAGTGAATTCAGACCCAAGCCTTCAAAACTGATGGTTTTCAGGGTTTTTTTTGTCTCCAAAGCGTACAAGGCTTGATGTTCGTGGGAAATACCTTACTTCTGAAATGGCTTGCTGAAAGCTGTGGGTGGGTTTCATTACGTGTCCTCTCCAGCAGCAGCCACTGCCTTACGGCTCTGGCCCCTCCGTGCCGTTCCCCTGCTCTCCACGCCGGGCTGCTCGCCGTGAGCTGTCCTTGAGCCCTCTCAGTCAAAAAGGGACGCGAGACATTGAAGCAGCCTGGTTTGTCTGAAAGGGCTTAGGGACAGCTTACAGCGAGCGGCTGATGCGGCAGGGTCGATGCGATGCTGGCCTCGGGCACATCCCGAAATGAGGCACTCGGAGTCATTCGGTCGCCTCTGAAAAGCCTCCAACTTAGATGTTTTGCCTACGGAGAAGCCAAGCTGCTTTTACTGCTGGTGGACACCCGAGATGGCTCCGGCCGGGCAGTCTCTCCAGCCGGCCGGGCTCGCTGCACCGTGCCGGTCTCGGAGAATTTTTAGTTTTCATTCCATCAGACCGTTATTAGTAATAAAAATAAGACCCGCTGCACAGAAGTGAATGCGTTTCTTATGTCAACGCTTTTCCCCGCTCTTATTTTGGTAAAGTCTTAAATCGTTCTTCAGAGGCAGACTTTATTGGCTGTACTTTTCAAACAGGGGGGAATAATAAGTACTTGCAACTTAATCAGCCGTATAGCTGCAAAGAGGTTTTTTTCCGAGTGCTTTTATGTCCCATAATGAGCTGGTATTTTATAACTTCTGATGGTAATGTATTCCATATGCCTTCCAGTGCTAGGATAAAGAGCTTTACTCCAGAATCCAAAGCAAGTGGCTGTGGGTATTTATTTAATAAGGTTTGAAATCTTTGCACTAGGCGGGACGTCCGTGTGTTGCATACCCAGAGCTTCCTCGGGCTGCTCGTGGTGAGGTCTTAGTTCTTTAACATCATGGAAAGATCACTGGTGTCCCAGCCCTGAGGTCTTAGTTCTTTAACATCATAGATAGATCACTGGTGTCCCAGCCCTGAGGTCTTAGTTCTTTAACATCATAGATAGATCACTGGTGTCCCAGCCCTCCTTCCCGTGAAGCAGACTAGGGTTCGTGGTTCCAACCCCAGTCCCGCCATTTCAGTCAAATTCCCTGCTTTCGTCTGTCCTCCTTCTTAATATGACTCGTTTTCCTCCAGGACCTGGGACAAGCTAAAACTCAGAGGAAATCGACCGTGAATGTCAAGATAGCCAAATGAGTGGTCTGCTGGTAATTCCTTGAGGCATCTCCTCTAACGCCTGGCGCGGAACAATAGTCCTGTTGTGGGGGTGCTTAGGAGTTGCTGCAGTCTTAGAGTCCTGACAGGAATGAAAAATAATCTTTTTATGGTTTCTTGCTGAAATACTGAGACTGCTCTGGTTGGGCTTAGCATTTGAAAAACATTTTCTGCTATGTGACCCTTCTAGATATTCTGGCATGCTTGCCTCCACTCTGATGGAGGCAACAATAATTATGAGTTTTTGGCAGGATTCAAATTTGTGTTTCAAGTCACAAGGGATCGTCGTTACCATTTTATCTGTGCAACTGTCGGCTTCAGTATAGTATCACAGGCCCCTGTGAAAACTCATCTGCTCCCTTCGGGTAGAGTTAAAACCGAAGACAAATCTGAATGTGAATCTTGTGCTGTCTTCTGAATCTGAGTGTGGCCAGCAGGACGAGGGAAGTTCTCCTTCCCCTCTACACTGCCCTGGTGAGGCCTCATCTGGAGTACTGTGTCCAGTTCTGGGCTCCCCAGTTCAAGAAAGATGAAGAGCTA